CGAATCCTTGGTGGTGCGTTAATTGACTCATTTTGTGGTTCAGTTTTAGGGCAATGCGAGCTCATCGGTTAAATGAAAAATACGCACTAAAACAACAAAAGAAAAACAATCCCGAATCTTTTAAAATCGATTCCTTTCTTGAGGCATCATCATCATCGATCAATGTACGAATGACCTATTTATCGTTATAACCCATGTTAGAAATAAATTCAATTATTGAATTATTCGGTCGATTAAAAAAATTTTAGTTGGGTGACGCTTTATTTTCATCAATAAATACTAACACGGCGATTGGTGGATTAGGAGGTATGTTATTCGGGGATGAGGATAATGGCTTGATCGAAGAAACCGTAAGTTTGAGACGTGATGAATATATTTTTTTTCGCAAATGGAGGATAACTTGGTCATTAGGTCATTTCATCTTTAAAATTTTAGACTTCACCGCTCCTATTGTCCGAATCATCGCAAGGTCCCTCGATACGGACATGGATTCAAGTTGTTGAATCTAACCTGAAAGATGAAGGTAGCATCGAATCAAAGCTTTGCGACGAAACGGTGTCGAAATTAGTATTAGATGACTCCCCGGAAAAACGTCTGAAAGGTAAGTGTCGAACATTCAATTGTTAAATGGTGATTTCGTATGCAAACTTACTCGTTTGTTTTTCAATCGTTTTGTTATCTCAAATATTCTTGTCTCTTTAATCATGAAGCTACATGGCCAAAAAAATTTTCGTTTTTTCCTGCCCAATATGTATATATAATGGAAGAGATATTGGAGGAGGAAAGGACGTTAATTGACCTCAAGAAGTACGGGCATTACTTAAACATCCCGGCGGAAGGGGAATACGTTGTGGGTGAGGAGAATGATGGTGAATCGTTCGACTGGGCTGGTGAGAAATACGAGAAATCTTGCTTGCCAAAAGGTGTTGATAAAGCTTTTAGAAAATTTTCCGACCGTGTCAATGAGTGGCCCGATCAGTGCATTAGGTGGGATGAGGTGCTTAATGGTTTTTTAACGAACTTTTAATTGACGATCTTTCCATATTCGCTTGTTGAAAGGTACGAGTTTGATGGCCAGCCATTATTATACAACCAAAGTGATGCTACGGCTGCACTATTGTTATCATCACCATACGGATCCGTCAAACAACTCAAAACCACAACACACTTATTGCCAAAATGTCCCAAATGTGGATCCAGGCGTACATTTGAATTTCAATTGATGCCAAACATATTGTGTGTACTTCCAACAGGTGAATACAGTGGTGACGTCCGAAAAAGTGTATTAGCGAATGATGGGGTCTCCCAATTTGATTTTGGTATGGAATGGGGTACGATAATGGTTTTTACCTGCTCTAAAGATTGTAATTTGGACGAGGTTGGTGAAGACAGCGTTTCATATTACGAAGAATTGGTTTTAGTTCAATATGAAGAATGAATAATATCGAAACAGTGTAGATGGGAAAGCTATAATTATATAATTTTCATAGTTCCATAAGTACAGTATATAATGATTTCAAAGAAAAGGGTCACCGATATTTTTTATTGAATTGATTCATTTTAAACCACAGGCTGGTTTGTTATTTCATTGGCGAAAAAGACAGCATGATGCACCTATAGATATGCAGTACATATAAATTTTATTACATTTCAATGTACATTTACTTAGAATTTATAGAAAGTACTTCAATGCTCAAGGAATAATTTTTAGTAAAAAAAAAAAATTTCTTATTTTTATATTTCACCAACATATACTATATATAGCATATGTGCAATACATAGTATACAAATAAAGTTTCTTATATTGCAGATCACAAAACAAATCGTAAATTAAACGAAAATTAAATGGCAGAGAAGAAAAAATAAAACCAACACCATGGTATTTATTCCAGCCTCGATATTGCAACATAAACAGCTGAAAACGGTTTTGAGCAACCTAATGTTAGTGTGTTTGAAATTTACAAAAAATGGTGGAATAAGTTCGATAATTGTTATGCAAGAAAGGGTTGCATTAATTAAAGGAAAAAAAATTGAAAAAAATTTTTCGACTTGGTTAAAAAAAAAACATTTGTCACTTTCCATTAATAAATAAATTTCCAGTCTTTAGCCAACAATGTATTATATAATAAATAATATTATCAACTTTTTTTTTTTGCGCCATACTTAAATAGCAGAAAATGTATTACAACAATAAAAGGTATGAGCGTTGAATATAAAATTTGTAAAATTTACAGTTTCCACGATGCTAATAA